CGGCCAAAAAAAGTAACCGTACTAAAAATTCGCTGAAAATTTCGTGTATGCGCTAATCGGCACTTAGGAATGAAGAAATATGGAAAGTTATAAAATTGAACAGGCTACCATGCCCACAGCTCTTGTGGGCGGAAATAGTAAATATTTTATTAAGGAAAGCTGAAAGAACGTAAAAATCGGTTTTTATTATCGTCCACTTATACTCGAAAAATAGACGCAAATTAAAAAAAATCTTTTTTCATGAAATTCGGTGTGCCATGCTCGTTTAAGCCAAAATTTTCCAATTTGGAAGATGGTGAAACCGGCTGTTAGACAACAGATATATTAAAAAAAATGCTCATCAATCAGATTGGCTTTTTATATATTCGCACAAGTGGAAAAATTAATTCAAATTACTTGCGCAAAATCAAAATTTTTTCTTACAAATTTATTTTTTTTTTGCATTGTTGCATTTTTATCAAAAATTCTTTTTGCTTTTGGTTAGCTGAACATTTTGCTGTGAATCTGCGTAAATACTTTTTCAGAATTCGCTAATATGTTTTTACTACTTTTGGCCGCTGTAGTCCCATTGTGCGGTGGCGCTAACCTAAATCGACTGCGCTTTCCCAAAATAAAACCGCATTTACATATGTGTGTACATATGTAAGTAGGCAGGCGACCTTTTCTCGTTGTAATTTTCATTTATTTATGTAGGTGTCCCATTTTCATGTTTTCAAAACTTTTCAAGCAACCAGTGAGTGGCATTCAACAAAGCATAAAATAGACTTGGCATTTTACGTATGTTATTGAGCCTCATAAATTTTTTGGTAATTGTGTTGAGTTTGTTTTCCTTTTTGTCAACATGAAATTACATTAACACGAGATTACTGAATGTTTTGTAATAATATGCATTAACTAAAATTATTATTGCATTTTAAGTTGCTTGTTAACCAAAAAGAGATGAAGGGTGAAATTATCATAATTACATATATTAAATACAACACGCATACATACATACATACATTGTAAGGTTTTAAAATCAACACCATTAATTTTCAGGTATTTAGCATTTAATTAGTTGCTTTAGCTATGAGGTTGTCGTAGGGGATATTTTAGAGAAACCTAGGCTGTAAAATCAGGAGCGTTTCTAAATGAACGTTTTCAGGCATAGATTTTTCTTTGGAAGTTTTATTATTTAAAAGATGAGTCATGTGCTAAGTCAATACTTTTAAGTATTGCTCTACTCTGTACCGATTTAAAAATTATCCATTACTTTCGATACTCGGTACCGAAAAATTTGGGTTTCTAATAAAAATGCACATATGCCAAAAATATAGGAAAAAGTGGTTTAGGGGGACTCGCCTACACGGTTAAAAATTTCGGTTTTAATTTTAAACTTTTTGGACTACATATATGACCAAACTAAATTCAGTTTCAAATACAAACCTTCCAAGTTTAAAAAAAAGAGAGCACTTATGTTGGGTTTAGAATAAACAATTCTATTATCAAGCATCTTGGCACACTCAGCTACAGCCACGCATGTAAATGTGCTTTCATATGTTGAGTTTGAATCAACACCACAATTCGCTGTGCCAACATATTCTATTTCGGTTTAGATTTTAAACCAAATTTTCTATACATATATGAAACCTAGAAACCAGAATTAAAACATTTTGGTTTGATTTTTAAACCAAAAACTTTTTGGGCTAAAATTTAAACCAGAATATATTAAAAATTGCGTAAAACTTTTGACTGGTTTAAAAAGTAGACTATAAAAGTTTAAAAAAGGCAGTAGTAGTAGGCGCGGTTTAAAAATTAAACCCAAATTTTTGACCGTGTATAAAAAGCCGGATGTAGGGGCCAATAGAGCTTTTAATAGTGATTTAAGTGAAAAATGTATGTATGTATGTATGTCGGTTCGTCGCCATAATGCAGAGAAACTCTTACTTTTTTGAAGCATTTTTGTTCTAGATGAATCGGACGATATTATCTTTGTAGGCCTGAAGCGCTTCTCCATTCGTTAAAGCATTTTGCTTGAATCTTGGATCCACTAAGGTGAAAACTGGCAAAATAATATTTTACTGTTGCGATAAGTACGCGCTTTTTAGCCGACATTAAATAAAATAGCAATGAAATAATTTGTTTCTACACTTTAAAGATATATAATGGCGAAGGTTTAATGAAGTATTGGGTACCGAGTAGAATATAGAAGAAGATTTTTCAATAGGCCTGTCATTCGTCGGCACCTGGCGATGGTTGTCTGAGGCAAAGTTCATTTTCTAAATAAAAGAAGCTAAGAAATAAATAATACCACCTTTTTTTAATTTTGTCGATTGCTACAAAGGGTAACTATTTTCATTTTGTTTTTTTTTTTTTATTACAGCAGCATAAATACTGCCAATGATGTTAGCCTACACCTAATGGACCTCGAACTTCGTAAAGTCGAGTGGCAATTGGCGAAGTTTTTTGGTTAGACCCATACCGACAACGATTTATAATACCAGATAAAAAGAAGAAGAAAAAATTACTTCAGATTCAATTATGTAACTGCTGTACATTTTTAAATAATTTTTACTTCACAATTTTTTTTAATTGACTTTTTTTCTTATATTACACTTGTGACAAAAACCAAAAAGTTTCAAATATAGGCGACAGTCAATTTACTCGCAAAGCTAAGCGCCAAAAATAGCAAAATTACATTATTAGTTTTTCTCTCTAACCTCAAGATTTTTTTAAGGACTTTGACATTTAAAAGATATGATTAATTAAAACACTTTTTTAAAAAATGCAGTGTATATAAAAATAAAATACAGTGCAATATAAAATAACAATACAAGCACCAAATGAAAGAGAAAATTTTGTAAAATTTTAAAGTTTTTAGTCAATGTTATTGTGGCTTGTTAACATTTTATTTTTAATATTTTTTATTGAGCTTTGTACCACGATTGTTTATTAGGAAAAATTGAAAAAGCAACAAAGTCTAAGCGGTAGAAGTTATAGCACTATTTCGGAGATCACCACATCTCCTCATCAGACTTCTTTTTTTCTAGACTTCAGCAGGGATCGAACCTGCGAATTCGATGTTCAAAGTCAGAAGCGTTAACCACTGAGCTATGTACATCCCGTAAACTCTTGTTGCTAATTCATTTTCCTTATTCAACCAACTACTATCAAGTGCAGCTGATTTGCCGCTATTTAAACTCAACAGCGTGGTTGTTGTTGTCAATTCTATACATCCATTTGCTT